CTGTTTTCGAGAGGCAAAGAACCCATTTACGTTCTTATCTGCCCCAAATCGAGATGTTCAATCATCATCCTGGCAGACATGTATCTGTGGGACCGAGGTTTCAACCGCAAGCCTTTCACTAACTGAAATGACACTTAAGAGTTAACCATCATAACGCATCTTAAAACTTGAATGCACCAGTTAACCATTATTCGGCTTTTAGCCAGTACATTCTCAGCCCGATTAACAGCAGCCATTTCCCTTCCGGGGACGGCGTACGAGCTCTCGGGGTAAGGCCGGATAGATATGCTTGTTTATGTCATTCCATGCACGCAATACCAGGATGACTCGATACAACATGCAGGTTGGCATGAACAGAGGGCCTTGACAGAGAGTCAGACCAACTGCTATGAGAATCATGGGACTCGTTCATGTAACCAACTCAGGTCCGGTGTTTGATTGATACATTGTAAGGAACAGGCTGCAGATAGTTGTTGGTGTTGTCGCTGCTGCTGCTGTTGACGATGCGGACCTGCCATATTCGGGTATCACCACTCTTTTGACTTGGCTCCCCACTTTCCCTCACTCATTTTCATTCTCATCCTCAACCTCACCTCATTCTATCTAATCCACATCTTCATCCTGGGTCGGCATCAAGTCCCGTCGATTGGCTCGTCTGAACGCGTAATAAACTTCAACCCCAAGGCAGAGGTATCTCCTACAATAACCGACCGATGTAGCATGGCCCGGAGGAACCTGTCCTGGACTCCTGATCGCGTTTCTCGACTTGACAGCTCGCCACATCTCCAGACCAATATCCTGGTGATTGGATCTTTGCGATACTCAAGTGTCATCTGTGACCATACGAGTACTGCAGTTGCCATTATTATACATCTTACTTAAACCGAATTGCTAAATGAGGGGTTCTCATCGGCGACCTTCGCTCTTTGACCTCGTTCTTGGAGCTACGAGTGTCAAAGCTGCAGGAAGGCGAAACTACTGCAAGCATACAACCCCATTTCTTCTCCCCGTGCGTCTCAATGTGGGAAACTCTTCTTCTATCGGTCTTGGATTGTCTTAGGTAAGGCCATCGCTTACACGCTGTTGCTTGTAGTGAAGGGAAATTGAGGTTGGGCAATGGGTACACTACGTACGGAGTACTCCTGCTGTATCTCCCCTGACCTTAATCATCCGTCTTAAGAGAGGGGTAAGGACCGGGTGAGATCAGACCTGAAAACCATCTACAGAGTCCTGCTGCTTCAGTCAATTTCTTTTGCTGCCGGTTCTGAATGGTCGTCTTGAGATTTGCTTTCATCAATCTGCACGGGCGATTTACTGATCAGCAAGATCATCTGGGCATCAAGCAAGGTGTGCTTATGCCACCTTGTCAATTTCCTTATCACCAGGAGCATTTGATAGCATTTCGGACGTGTCAGTCGCTGCGATGCACGGTACTTTCCTAACAAGCCCATGCATTACAGAGTGATATGCGGTCTTAGCATGCCGCCCCGCCCCTCCGCACCTTTTCAGTCGAATCAGGGCTTGGCCGGCTGAGGCTGCTCATGCACATCAACTTTTGTCATCACTAGGACAATCCCTGGTTCTGCTTCATTTTATATTTTTGCTTTTCATCAGGTATCATTTTCTACCAGTCATTACCGACTGTTTGACTCGATATTGCCCGTAATGTGATGTGCTTGTTGTCCTTCGTCCTCCTGGCACATTTACTCATCACACAACAGCGAGAAATGTCACTGCCTGGTCCCGGTTATTGTCCATGCACTTAATTTGCCAAACCCAATACCCTCTGTCCTGGCTGACATCGTTGGGGCTATGGATGTCCCACTTACAAGTATCTCGCTAGTGCAATCGGTGGCACAGCTCACAGAACTTTGTCCAGGGATGTGAACTATCCGCCCAACTTGATGCAGGCTGCGACATTGACTACACGCAAACCATACCACGAAGATTGGATAACGTTGGATTAGCTACTATACCTCCTTGGCATGACACTGGACTCAGGCGAAGGCACGCGCCCATTGACTGCATACATACCGATGGACAGGGTGTGACGATGGCGATTGGGGACTGCGCTGGCCAGCCAGTCACCAATGACAGTGGTTAAAATCACCGATAGGCGTCTATCATTGCCTCACCGTCTCGAATCAACCTTTGCTCCTGCGGCACGAGCTCTCTGGTGTGACTGACCTATTTTTTTTTTTTTTTTTTGGAGCCATATTACCCCCAAGGTATGTGTCACCGCTTGGAAAGCTGAAGGGAAGCAGATGAGGATTGTGCACTTATGCAACAGGGCAGGCATTACCTGTCGCTGACATTTCGCCGCAAAATGGTCAGATGGTGATCCTGACCCTGGTCTTCTGCGCTTCGCTGCCCAAATGACAAGGGTTTTATCCCGCCAGTGCCGACTCACAATGCTATGTTTACTGCCCCTTTTGCCATGACCGGCTCGGACCGTCTTTGGCTCGTTATGACGGATGAATTTTACCAGGATACCAGACTGGCAACGAGTTCAACGAACACAAGGCTAGGCGGCCAGTTGCCGCCATGAGGGCCCCTGGTGTATGTATCTAACACAGCCACAGCGCTGTTAGGGACGTCGAGCGACCCGTGCCGGTCAACATCATGATTGATCATTTTCCACGTCATCAGCAACATCTATGCGGTGTACATCAGGGTGGGGGACTCGTATGCGGGGCCTATTACCGTTCGTATGTTTCTTCTGTCGGACATTGTCGCGATATGTATAATGACCGCGGGCGCTCTCAGCCTCCCTTGCTCTTCTTTGACCGTCGCCGTTTGTCGCGTTCATATGCCCCACCTTCCTCCTTCACCGTCTCTAATACTGTTTCAATGATTAGTCAGGAGTAGCAATTGAGCTCACTGTCTTGTCAAAGCGACACGCGATCCACTGCTTGGTTCGAACCGCACAATAGTTCTCACAGCAGTTGCAATCAGCTAAATGTCACGGCAACCGAAGCTCTGTCCTAAGTCGCACATACCGGGCTATCCAAATGCGTTCTGTGATCTCGCAGCGTTGGCGTCATTATCACAGCCGGATCCTCGATCTGGGTCAGGCGAGGAGAAGTCGGAACAGCGACTCTTTCGAGTCAAGCGAAAGCATGTCCTGAAAGCTTGCGATCGTTGTAGGGTCAAGAAGACCAAGGTTGGTTGCCCGAGAAGACACTAAGGACGATGTTTTTTCCAGAACTGAGGACGCTCAATCATGCTGACCTGTAATAGTGTGATGGAAAGCAGCCATGCAACCGTTGCTCGGCGCATAACCACCCCTGCCTCTTCCGAGAGAGGAAGGCCACACAGACGAAAGTCTACTCCCGAGGGTGAGACTGTTTCAACTACTTCCTCACGCTTTCCTCTCACGCTTATTGCTTTGCCTTCTCTCGGTGTTGGTTGATTTGTAAGGGAATTGAGTCTGACAAGTCTTACCTGCCTGCAACAGATTCGTTGAGATGCTCGAATCGCATCACTCACTTGTCGTCAAGGCGTTGCAGAAACTCTACAAACTCTCCTTGAACAAGGAGGGATTCCCTGGAGAGCCTCTTCCCGAAGCTTCTGATGGATACCCCCTGACGCACGCTATCTTGGATCGGTTGGGACTGATCAAGCAGGCTGAGGAGAACCCTGAAGACAGCAACGAAGACTCGGAAGATCTACAGTATTTGCGCTTGTTGTCCACTTCGGCTGAATGCAGCGCAACGACAGACCCCTCTCCAGAACCAGCTACTCCGCCTGAGCCATCGTCCAGCAACTGCAGTCCCGTCGACCTCTCCCCTGTAGGGACTGGGTGGAAGTGGAATTTCCCTTCAATTCAGACAGTCCGCCCAGAGCATTATCATAGCTATTCGAGCCAGGATTTTGCTGGGCTGCCGCTGTCTCGGACCAACAATCTCGCTGGTGATACTGCATGTCTGGGCACAACAGCAACTGCGCTCGGCCATAACCATCCGTACCTTTACTATCTAGATACTTGTAACGCGGATGCCAAAGAACCGCTTGACTCTTGCGTGACTGCCGGGCCTAGTTTTCAACAACCTGCGTCCGCCACCGAGATGCCTGTTAGTATGCTTGGGGGCTTCGATGTCCACCTGCAAGAGCAGCAGCCTATTCATCCGCCTATTCATCCCCCTCTTGTTCCAGGCTGGTCGTATTCACGCGATTAGCACGTCTGTTCGGGGTCATCGGAGCCAACAATTCCTCCTCCCCTTCCGATCCCCCTTGTTTGATCTATACGGCATTGTTCTCCCTCCACATTCCCTAGATGACCTTGACGTCCATAGCCTATCCTCCTCTCATACTTTTCCTCTTGTCCTCATGCCCCGTCCCCGTCTCTCGGTGCTCACCATTGTCATGGCCTATGCCGTCGTTATCGCTTAGTTTTTAGAGGCCCTGAGATACCATCATCAGATATCCAAATGCAGTTCGTTTTTGTCTAAGTGAGCAGGGAATATTCCAGGCTGACGACCTGCCTGTTGAGCATCATATCACCGCTTTTTGCTCCGAGATATGTCTTACAAAAGGACACATTCATACACTGGTCATCTCGTCCTGAGTCGGGATGTGACTTGCTGCGGGGTGGAGCCTTCCGAGCTATCAGCCCGAGAACTCATAAAGATGCCCGATTGTATTGTTGGCTGAGAACGTTCGACCTTCAACATCAAAAAGTTCAAATTGACACCTTGAGAACTAACAAACAGTATATGAAGTATGAGAAAGTTTGATACGACTCCAGATTAAATGCAAATCTAACATGTACAATACAGGAAATAACTCCAGGAGCAGACAGACCATGGACGAGCGTATTGCGGGGATAGATATTTAGAAAAGAAAAAGAAACAAAGACGCTACATGGCCCAATGAGGCAACATGGACGCAATCCGAGGCTTATATTGACTGAGTGTATCATTCCTGCGGAGAAGTCACGGGTGGTTCTCCGCTTTTATTGCACTTGAATGTCCCTTCTGGACTGTCAGAACAAGACTCCCTTAATCATCAACATCAGTTTCTGTGTTTGTGTCGCTGGTATCTCCCGCATCGCCATCAGTATCACTCTCCTCCTCGCTAGACTCATCAGAGGGCTTCCGTGCCTTCTTCTTGGGCGGTTGGCCGGTCTTCAGGGCCTGCATCTGGCCAGCAATAGAATCTATCATCGAGATTTGGTTAGTGACTGGACTTGACAATGCAGAAAGATAAACGCAATAGAACGTACCTTCATCGGGCTCGCTGATGTCGTCTTCTTCCTCGAGAGCAGCCGCCTTGGCTGGATCGTCGACATGTAGCGTGATGTCCAGCTTTGTGTCGAGACCCAGATAGCTGTCACACATCATGTGCATGACAAAGGTGAAGTCTCCTACCTGAGGAGGAGCCTGGAACTGCATCTTGAGTGTTTGGACGTTGAAGGTGGGCTTTCCTGCCTCGTCGAACAGGGGCTTATCGAAGGTGGTGAAGGTAAATGGAGGCACGGCCATCTTGCCTTGCTTGGCATCGGCCAGGAAAATGTGCCAGCGAGGAGAGTGGTCGCGAGCCAGGTAGGGTGCGTGAGCGAGAGGGGGCTGGATAGTCTCAATCTTGTTCTCGACCTGTTGGCCGTTGACGGTCTTGGTAGGTCTGTTCTTGGGGGGCTTTCGGCCCATGAGAGCGTCGAGGTCGTCCTCATCTGGGTCAACGTCTTCCAGTTCGGAGGGGTTCACTTCGGGGATGTTGGTGGAGCCCGGAGGGATGAACCGGGCTTTCACGACCAGTTGCACCAGACTGCTTGGGGTAATGACCTTCTCTCCCATGACCTTAAAGAAGGCCCTGGAGACTTCAAGAACGGGTAGTTGCTTGGCGACGGACACGGCTGTTGAATACTGCTTCTCGGACAGGAGACCAGCACCGACGGTCAGGCTGCGCCGCTTGTCTTCGGGCAAGCTCATGAACTTCTGCACGGTGTAATGATCCTTGGCATCTACGCCTTCAATAGCTTTGATGACTCCGTTGTTGAAGTATGGCAGTTGCAACAGTGGCGACGAGCCCGGAGCAACAGCTTGGATCAGATGCTGGGATGCGCGGAAGGAGCCGAGAATAGGATGAAGGTTACCGAAGGCGAGGGAAATGGCGGTAAATGCTTCGTTCAGAGAGAGGGCAATTGGAGCAGCCTCGTATTTCTCTGAAAAGAAAGTATTCGTTAGCGGACTGATTTTCAGACATGCAGAAAGGCCATATCTTACCTCCATTCAGCGTAGCATCCTCCAAGTCAATCCTGCCCAAATAAGCCCACAGTAATGCGAGTGCCTTCCGCCGGGTGGAATCGTCCATTTGTGACAGAGCCTTCCGCGTCTCAGGTGTCAGTATCGAGCCTTCAGCCAAAACCTTCTTCTCAAGTTTCGCAAGTCCAGCTTCCGCGTGGGAGCCCTTGAGCATGTCCTTGAACTCCACACCCGCAGACAGCGCATTGATGATACCGCCATCGGTGATGTCTTCCTTGTATTCCCGAAAGATGTTGCCGGCGCTTGCGACTAGGACTTTCTCCTTGGTGTAGCGCTGAGATCCATACCACCACTTTCCGACGATATAAGGCAGCAGAACACCGAGCAGAGCTCCGTAGACCAACAGGACGTATTTCCCATTTCCTTCTGAAACGATGAGCTTCGGGAGAGCAATACCGATGCTGAAACTCTGTTTGCCATCGGGATGACCGTATTGAATGTAGTTATTCCGCACTTCTTCATCTGTCAGCGCTTTGTAGGCTTTGGTCAGCTCAACGAAGCGCTCGTTGAGAGTCTCGATGGTCTCGTTCTTAGAGGGATCAGGACGGATTTTGTCGGGATGGTATATGAGAGAAAGACGCTTGTAGTGTCTGGAGATGGCTTTTTCATCCGCGCTCTAGATAAGGGAAGCAAGTTAGCGATCGCTCGCACTCTTCGCTTTTGCGAAACATTTACCAGGGTGGAACTTATTTCATACCCTTGAGATACCCAGAATTTCATATGGATCCCAGATCTTGGGTGCGGTTCTCGCAGTGACGACGATCAAATAGGCCATCCATGCCATGATGGCATAGCCTGCGATGACGGTCACTATGCGCTTGATACGGCGTTCCTTGCGCAGGCGTTTGCGCTTCTGTGCTTCGATGAGATCGCCATGTTCTGGCTTGTAATCTGATTGTATCCGGGGGGCGGTATTCTCGAGCTCTGATCACAAGAGTCAGTCATTCATGGCTTTCTTGACGCTTCCAATCTACTTCTGCGACTCACCCTTGCTCGGTTTGAGAAGGTTGTATGTGAGAGGGAGAGTGACGAGGCCGGTAAGAGTCAGGATGAAGAACGGGAAAAATTGCCCCTAGACAGATGATAAGTATCAGAAGGGCAAGGACAGAAGCATGGATTTGAGGCAAAAGTCTCTACCTGTTCATCATAATTGTAATCTGTAGACATGGCGACGGTATTTCACTGCGGACACGGTTGCCCTCAGTGACGCTGGGGTATTAGAGCTAGCAAAAGAAGGCAAGCTTTGAGAGAGAGATCTCTCATGGAAGATGATATCTGTCGTCAAACCAAGTCAAGATATTTTCTCCAGGAGCATGGTCTCCTAAAAGATAAAACAAAGGAGTGGAAAGGACAAAGGAAAATGCTGTCCAGTATGCAACATCCCAATTACCATATCATAGCGATGGCTCAACTTGTGATTGACCGTGTCCTTTACGGGGAGGGTATCCAACACCGCCTTCCTCATACGGCTTAGCTGGACCCTCAATAACCACAAGGCTGTTCATTCATCATCGAACGTTAACTTACAACTCCAATGATGATCATAACGATGCTGACGCCGTGATTAAAAAATGTCTATCTATCGAGACTTGAGATGAGAAAGAAAATCCACGTGGTCTTGTTTTCTATTGTATCCTATTGTACAGAAAGTACTTGGCTCTATTGTTCACAAACATACTGACATACTGACATCGCAGTTGTCATTACTCAATGGACGACTCAGTCCTGACCTCTATTTCTGCCTAACGAGCCTCGATAACTAGTTTGTCCTGTGCAATAGCACTATAATAAATGCAGGACCTAGTCCTCCGATTTTCGGTCTGTGGAGGTAGATAGTCGCGCTGCCCTCTCAAAAACTGACGTGACAGGTAAATCCCATACACTGTTGAGTGCAGTGTAAACTGCAGACAACTTGTGATTCACGAGTTGTTTGTCGGGTGGAAATGAGAAATGTGACCATCCGCGGCAAGCTTGTTTACGGGGAACTCAAGCATCAACAACCATTCGAAGGTCGGACGCGAATTCAACCCGCGAAAACAAGCCGACCTGGCAGGTCACCCAGTTTTCTCGATATGAGCGTTGTCACATCGCGTGGGAGTATTCTGAACCAGGATTCACATGGCCAAGTGTTTGGTAGACCAATCCAATACCCGTGTGATCAACTGTACTCCCAAGGGAACAGGTGAACGGGCATCTTCATTGCTGCAAGTCATGACTTGGGGGTTCCATGTAAACTGGTGTCCTCGCCAGTTGGGAAGGGGTTTGGCGCTTGTATTGTGTGTTGTGTCCTGATCGTGGCGTTCGATAGGGGTCGATCGTTCATCGGTTTGAAATTTTATTTCAGCTTTTTGGCTTCTCCGTCGCAATGCCCGGATGAGAACAGAAAATCGAAACCAGCGATACGAGGCCGGTTGGTTTGTTGGTGCGTCACCCAGGTAGCAGCTTCAAGGAGTGTGGTCTATTGCGGGATTGAGAGTCAGAATGGTTCAGAAGAAGAAAGCTTGTCAAGGAAGATAACTCACGGGTCGATATAATCGAGACCACCAAAGTACTCCAGCATGCGATAGCAGAGGTCTACATCGTCACCCGGTTCACCTCCAAAAAGACGATACTGCTCTGCCTCCAGCGGCGACTTGCGCTCACGCACCTGCCCCCCCGAATACCCATGATGCCAAGTCGGGGCGAAGGGAATCGAGAAGCGGTCCAGTGAACTGCAGGCGGCCCTGGACTTGCTCACACAGTATGCAGAGGGAACATTTGAGCTGAAGAAATTTGTAGAGGGCGGAGAAGAATCGGATGACTCAACTCTGGAGCTGCGGTTCCGAGATCTTGGGCGTGTTCGACGTCTGTTATGTCTCTGTCCCATTCTCGAGAGGGAATTGGCGAGGACGATGTTCAAAACGAAGGACAGAAGAAGTATATTTTTTTCGTTTCACTTTTTGAACTCCTCTCCTGTTGATGTGGGTGATAGTAAAAGGATAGGCGGACTGGATATATAAGAGAACGAGTAAACAACTTTACTTTTAGAGAATCAGCAAGAGGGGAGTGACCATCACCCCTGGGAAGGATGAGATGAGGTGAGGAAAAGAAAAGGAAAAGAAAACAAAAGATCGGAAGATCCAATATGATATACAAAAGACGCACAGGATATATAAAGCCAAGGTAGGCATAGCTCTGATGATGAGCTGGTGCTGTGGTGTGACTCACTACGGCCCAATCCGGTAATCCATCAGAGATCACGTCAGGGATAGGCCGATGAGGATACGCCATCCTCCTCTAAGTCTGCACGGCTGCCGGAGTGAAAACTCATCGTCCCGAAATCGGATCCACCTTGACGAAGATCCACTAAGCAAAGTCTAGAAGGTTGTAAAGCAGGGGTACCTAATTGTGAAAATTTATGGTGACAGATGGACTAATCAGCATGAAGAATTGCGCGAAGATCCCGAATCATCGACGGTATAGGAAGATGATGCCTAACTATGGAGTCATATTCTGAACACATTGAGCAATTTTGTCCAACTACCAGCCATTGAGTATTCGATGCCAGGAATGATGTAAAAACAGTTTGCCCGGTTCTGTCCGACTGTAGATTCAAGTTGTAGTCTAATTTGACTGGAGAAGGTTAATCAACTCGTTGTATAATTTTGCCATGCCTGCAGGATTAAAGAGTGAGCTCAGGAGAGACCTGGAGGAATCCTCTCATGTTCTACAGACAGTCTGAAACAAGAAGCTCGATGATTCATGACCTCACCCGATCCACAGAAAATTTTCTTTATTTTTAATATAGATATCGTTTCTCCTCCCCCTTTACTAGAAAAGGTGGTATGACTCCGACAGAGAAAAGGGGATAATTCGGAAAGTCGGAGCAAGACAGAAAAAAACTCCGCTACCGTATGCGCCAAATAATGCCATGCCAACTCGCCAATTCGCAATACTAATGCCAATGAGAGTGGCAAATCTGATCATGCCGTACGGTCCGACTATTTTTCATGGAAAGGTTATATCATTGCGAGGGAAATTACCTGGACTGGGCATGCGTGATTTCTCATCCTATCCGAACCTCCGTCATGCTTGGTTTGTTCACTTGAGTAGTGTGTAGTGAAACAGGCTGGTTGGAAACTTCCGTATGTTCATGCTACTCCAGACCCATTCCATCAGTAAGCTCCCATTACAATAGGTATTAGGTGGTCCCAGTCCCAGAAGGCTGGTTCTAGGCCCTTGTGTGCTGTTTCGACAATGATGAAACCACGATGACAATGAAAATGTGTCCATCCATGACCCAGCAGACCGTCCTTCATCAGAAGCTGAAATTAGAAATCCGGGCTAATTGTCGATCCCCCGACGGATGATCTCTAGCATCTCCTCCCCTTTGGGAGCTGTAGTCAGGTTTTCGTGCCCAGAGCTGGTCACCAAAATATCGTCCTCAATGCGCACACCACCCACGGGAATGTATTTCTCGGCCTCGTCAAAGTTTATATACTTTGCAAATGGCAGCTTCCGTGCATTCGCCAGAGCCAGTCGGGAAAAGTAGATGCCGGGCTCGACTGTGACCACCATACCTTCCTCCAATAATGGTGCGGAAAGTGTACAGGGACAATGGCTCATAGACGGCACCAATGTCGAGCTGTAGTATTCCTTGTCCCCGTCCAAAGCCGTGAGCCGTTTCGCAGACACGTCATGCACTTCGAGTCCGACGTGATGGCCCAACCCGTGCGGGAAAAAGACGGTCGATGCCCCGGACTCGCGAATCTCTTCTACCGAGCCGCCCTTGAGGATGCCTAGTCGCATCAACCCTTCAATTGCAATCACGTGCGCCAGGACCTGTAGGTCTAGAAATCGCACGCCTTTCTGTATACGCTTGATGCATTCTTCTTGCATCTCTTCTACCAACTGGTAGATGTCCCTGGCCCGCGCTGTGGGCCAGTCGGCGGCCAGGGGAAAGGTTCGGGTTACGTCACTGGCGTAGCAGTTCCACTCGGCACCTGCGTCCAGACAGACCAGCTGTCTTCCTTGAAGCGGTTCATTATTCTTCACGTAGTGAAGAACGGCCGCATTTTCCCCTGACCCAGCGATGATCTCATATGCTTGGTTCTTCGCTCCATGGGAGATGCACGTGTCCAGGAAAAGACCTTCGATCTCTGCCTCTGTTGACATTCGGAGAACATTTTCGAGTACCTTGCGATGAGCCAAAGCAGATACTCTGTTCGCTTCTCGAATCATCCGAATCTCATGCTCATCCTTGATGCCCCGGGCTGCGTCCATGGCGGGTAACAGCGATTCCTCATCTAAGCGAAGTTCGTCCGACAACACTTGGGGCTTCTGGGTATCATGAAGTATATATAACAGACTCGTCTTGTTGTAGTTATCCACCCATCGCTGGATGTCACCCTTGAGAGATGCATAGTACCGCACTTGATCGACATCGTACCGTTCCTGAGCTTCTTTCACTGTCAAAGTCGGACCCATCCATATGGCCCGGTGCAAGTCGAAATCGGGCACATAGAGCGTCAAGAGATCATTCTTGATATCATATGTCAGATAGCAGTCCGCCTCATCAACCCCGCTAAGGTAGTAGAAGTATCGCCTTTGCCGGAACGGACGCGGCTGATCTGAATCTCCCCAGTTGATTGTAGGCTGACCAACAAGGTAAATCAGACCAGCCGAGACACCAAGCTTCGCAGCCACTGTTCGAGCATGTTGTTTTGCTGGAGGCCGTCAGCTTTTCGACCGGGACGGACCCAAGCCCTGAGAAACACACTTTGAAGAGGGAGAGAGCGGGATGGAATCCAGGAGATTGAGCACCCTACGAACCTGGATATTTATCGCAGTCATTGCTGGTCAGGGTAATGCGGATATCAAGGGCATCAACAGCACTGATAACGATATCTGACCGCCCCGAGCCACGCATCTTCGCAATAGCTAACAGAAGGACGAAAGGGAGCAAAAAGTCTCAAAAGGTATCAAAAGGTAGTGAGTGTCTGAGGCCGCTAAAAAGCAGGAAGGCAAGGAGCCGCGACGATCAAGGGCTAGCATCGGCGATGCAATGAAGGAGACTCCCTCTTGGGCATGAGATGTCTGTCCATCAATAGTGCCGCCGATTGATGTAGGAGGTATTATACTTACCGTAAGTTACCGATCACAGGCATACGACAGGCAGACACAATCCA